TGAGTGAGCGGAGCTCAAGAGCCCTGGAGATGCCCATGAGGACAAGCCTGCCAGCGGCCAAGAGCAGAAGCTGGAATCTGGGAGTCGGTCCAAGGACCCGATTGGGCTCCTACTGTCCCACTCACCTCACCTCTCAACCCACATTGGGCCAGGTGAACCGACGTGAGCAGCTTGAAAAATTTTAGAAAACTGAGGCTGGCGGGTCACCCCTCCAGAAGGTCTATGAATGGTTAAAGCCCCGAAACTTGCTCTTGATGGATGAGCCTTAGTGGTGGGGACCAGACTCGGACCTGGAGTGGAGTTGCAAGAGGGTCAGGAGTCACTCTTGTGACCCTAGACGTGGATCACACTGCTGGGATAAAACAGTCTCCATGACTTCTGGGGGTGGGCAAGGGGAGATGGAAATTATTTCTAGGTGATCTCATCAAATCCAGGATTTTACACTGGAAGCACTGCTGATTCGGTTTACAACCTAGAAATGAAATATATAGAACTCAGCGGCTGATTGGATCCTGGGTTGACACCTCTGATGTGTTTAAGGACCTGGATTACAAATGCTAAACCTTTTGAGTTCAAATCTAGAACCTGTGACTGACATTGGGTGTGATCTCAAGGGAATTGCTTAACCTCTCTGAGCCTCACTTTCTGCATCGTATGCTGACAGTTATAACCACCACATATGACTGCGGACTAAATGAGCAAATTGTATAAAACAATTGTGTAAAATTGTTTCCCCTGCACAGTTTGAATACCTGGCAAATGGCTGTAAAAAACATCCAGAAGTGCCTCTGGGTGACCTAATCGGGTAGGTACCCTGAGAGGTCGAAAATTCCCAGGTGATTGGTTTCTGAGGCTGGGATCCACCCAGCAGGGCGTGGCCAACCAAAGAAAGCTGGTTTGGGACTGCAGTACATCCGTCCCAGGCTCTATAAAAGGCCAGGTGCTCTGGCCAGCAGCCCAGTCCTGGAGACTCTTGGCCCACGATGCTGAGGTCCCTGAGCACACGATGGATGCACCGATGGTGAGTTTGCACCATCCAAACCAGACACCAAAGTGTGTGTGCTGGGGTGGAAGGGTCAGCAACTCCCAGGTGGACAGTCATGAGTCCTAGCAGGAGTACACTCTTGGGGAAGAAGAACCCAAACATTTGAAATGGTTCATTTCTTCAAGGGGTTGTTGACTGGGCACTCTTGTGTGCATGCAGTCTCCAGGCGGTGCCCTCACACAGACAGTTTCCTGCAAGCAGACAGCGTTGAGACCTCTTCAGTTGCCTGTCCCTGAAGGTCCCTTGAGGGCAAGGATGCTGTTTGGATGGTCCCCTGAGTCCCCAGATCACTGTGTGGAACAGGGTGGCTGCAACTTCTGCTTAGAATGAAAGGATGTGAAAAATGTGTGACTGTGACCATGTATGGAGGAGTCTGCGTGTATTATGGCATTAATAGAAATTGGACAATTAAGAGAAAGAGTTATAATCTATGGGGGGTGGGCACTGATTTCTTCCTACCTTGAAAAAATTTATTTTTATACCCAGCTTTATTGAAGTAGGGCTTCCCTTGTGGCTCCGCCTTCAATGCGGGAGACCCGGGTTTGATCCCTGGGTTGGGAAAATCCCCTGGAGAATGGAAAGGCTAGCCACTCCAGTATTCTGGCCTAGAGAATTCCATGAACTGTATAGTCCATGGGGTTGCAAAGAGTTGGACATGACTAACTTTTGCTTTCACTTTATTGAAGTATAATTGACAAACTCCCATAGATTTAAAATATACAACATGCTAATATGATGTATGTAAATGTTGTGAAATGATGACCATACTCAAAGTGGTGAACACAATTATCACTTGCTATGGATACCTCTCTGTTTTGGGTGATGATGCTTAAGACTTACTATCTTAGTAAAGTTCTGGTATTCAAATAACTATCATCACCAAGCTATATATTAGATCCTCAGAACTTAATTGTCTTAAGACTTTTTGTTCTTTGACCAATGTCTTTCATTTACCGATCCCTCAGCCACTAGCAACCACAACTCTTCTCTCTGATTCTATGAGTTCAAATGCTTTTTCTTATTTTACATATAAAATAGTACCATAAGGTTTAGGTTTCTCTGACACTTCACATAAAATAATGCCTTCTAGCTTCATCCATGATGTTACAGATGTCAGGATTTCCTTTTTTGATGGTTGAATGATGTTCTGTTGTATATACACAGGTTTCCTCTGTTCTCAGAAAGTGCAACATTCCTAGGAAACCTCTTGTAAGGTGAAATGGTATAAAGCAATGAGGCAGTCGCCTTAGGACACTTCTTGCTAAAGGATTAGCAAATCAAATGAGGACAAAGTGCAGATGGTCATGGAGAGAGTTCAAGGCTATGGCACTTCATGCTGAGATGCTGAGTGTAGTTCCCTAGGGAGGGTCTGCCAGTCTACTCAAGTTCACTGCAAAACAGATGATGAACACTATTTTCACTTTCAGCTCTTTTTGTAAAAGCAAAAATCTTTTTTTCTTTTTTTGTAGATTACTGAAAACAAGTACTAGTGTAGATTTTCCATAAAAGGAAAATGGTAATCTTTCAAAAAGCGCTGGATACCTGAATAACACATAATCATTCATCTGCTGAACAGACACTTGGGTTGTTTCCATATCTTGGCTATGGTGACTAGGGCTGCAATCAACCTTGGAGTTTAGATCTATTTTCGAGATATAAATTTCATTTCCTTTGTATACCTGGCAGTGAAGTACTGGATCATATAGTAGTTCTAGTATTTAATTTTTCAAGAAGTTCCATACTGTTTTCCACAACAGCTGCAAAAATTTGCATTCCTAACAGTAGTGATTGAGAATTCCCTTTTCCCCAAATTCTGCCCCAGATTTATATCTTGTCTTTTTGATATAGCTATTCTATCAGATAGAGGTGTTACCTCACTGGAGTTTCTATTTGCATTTCCTTAAAAAACAGTTCAAACTGCTGCACAATTGCGCTCATCTCACATGCTAGTAAAGTAATGCTCAAAATTTTCCAAGCCAGGCTTCAGCAATACATAAGCCATGAACTTCCAGATGTTCAAGCTGGTTTTAGAAAAGGCAGAGGAACCAGAGATCAAATTGCCAACATCGGCTGGATCATCAAAAAAGCAAGAGAGTTACAGAAAAACATCTATTTCTGCTTTATTGACTATGCCAAAGCCTTTGACTATGTGGACCACAACAAACTCTGGAAAATTCTGAAAGAGAGGGAGTACCAGACCACCTACCTGCCTCTTGAGAAACCTATATGCAGGTCAGGAAGCAACAGTTAGAACTGGACATGGAACAACAGACTGGTTCCAAATAGGAAAAGGAGTACGTCAAGGCTGTATATTATAACCTTGCTTATTTAACTTATATGCAGAGAACATCATGAGAAACGCTGGGCAGGAGGAAGCACAAGCTGGAATGAAGATTGCCGGGAGAAATATCAATAACCTCAGATATGCAGATGACACCACCCTTATGGCAGAAAGTAAAGAAGAACTAAAGAGCCTCTTGATGAAAGTGAAAGAGGAGAGTGAAAAAGCTGGCTTAAAGCTCAACATTCAGAAAACTAAGATCATGGCATCCGGTCCCTTCATTTCATGGCAAGTAGATGAGGAAACAGTGGAAACAGTGCCTGACTTTACTTTTTGGGGCTCCAAAATCACTGCAAATGGTGACTGCAACCATGAAATTAAAAGACGCTTACTCCTTGGAAGGAAAGTTATGACCAACATAGACAGCATATTAAAGAGCAGAGACATTACTTTGCCAACAAAGGTTCATTTAGTCAAGGCTATGGTTTTTCCAGTAGTCATGTGTGGATGTGAGAGTTGGACTATAAAGAGGGCTGAGCACCAAAGAATTGATGCTTTTGAACTGTGGTGTTGGAGAAGACTCTTGAGAGTCCCTTGGACTGCAAGGAGATCCAACCAGTCAGTTCATCCTAAAGGAGATCAGTCCTGGGTGTTCATTGGAAGGACTGATGCTGAAGCTGAAACCCCAATACTTTGGCCACCTGATGCAAAGAACTGACTCATTTGAAAAGACCCTGATACTGGGAAAGATTGAAGCAGGAGGAGAAGGGGACAACAGAGGATGAGATGGTTGAATGGCATCACCGACTCAATGGATATGAGTTTGAGTAAACTCCAGGAGTTGGTGATGGACAGGGCGGCCTGGTGTGCAGTTCATGAGGTCGCAGAGTCGGACATGACTGAGTGACTGAACTGAACTGAATAAACAGTATCTTTTCATGTGCCTATTGGACACCTGTGCATGCATGCTCACTTGCTTCAGTCTTACTATTTTTTGCAACTCAATAGACTGTAGCCAGGCTCCTCTGTCCTTGGGATTCTCTAGGCAAGAATACTGGAGTAGGTTGTCCTTTCCTCTTCCAGGGGACAGTTGGTCTCTCTCTTGACTAATTGTTCCCTTTCATTATATAATGACCTTCTTTCTCTCATGTAACAGCTTTGGCCAGTGAATTTTCCTGACATAGTGTAGCTAACCTGGCTTTTGGTTTCCTTTTCCATGCAATATATTTGTTCGTCATTTCACAAGCCTACTTTTGTCCTGAAATCTTAAACATGAATCATATTATGATTTTTAAAACTCTGTGGGACAACATCTATGTAGGGGTGGTGGGGTATTTTTACATTCATCTAGATTCCCACCTCCACTGATAGATAGGGTGGCATAGGAAGAGTTTTCATTTTACAAGTATTACTCTGACTGTCTTGAAGTTTCATAAGATGGAGTCCTCTGATTCACAGAGGCCAATTAAGAGGCAACTGCAGGCTTTTAGGCAAGCAATGATGGTGGACTAGAGTTGAACTGGATCAATAGGAAGGGAGAAGCATGAATGTGGAACTAGGATTTGAGCTTGGTAGGGTATATGAACTTCCTTTTTTTTTTTTCAGGACTCCACAACTGAAGCTCAGCTATTGGGCAATAGCCAAGAGGCTTCAAGAGACTCTTACCTTGAAGCAATGGAAGAGCTAGAGGCATTTTTCCAGGAACTCAATGACACATATGGGACAGAAAACTCAGCAGCACCAGAGGCAGAACTCTGTGCACCCCTGACTGCCCGTGAAGAGGACAGCCAAAAGGAATCCATGCAGAACCAGGTGAAGAATCTTTCGACTCACAATGATGATTTATACATGTCCTAGCATCCCTCAGACACTTCTGGTGCAGAACAAACATCAACCCATGTTAAAGCCCTTGATTTGCCCCATGGAAATTTAGGCAAGATCCTTTTTGACCCAAAGTGACCTCTTTTGAGGACAGTAGACCAACAGTAACATCCCAGATGACCGATGTCACTGACACCCCAAACACAGCCTGAGATTTTAGAGGCTGGATGCAGACCTAGACCTGGGGGAATGAAAATCGGAAGTCCTTCACTGAGTCCATTTTCTCTGAGGTCCTCACAGTTATATCTGTCAGAACTCACTGAGTTCTCTAGTCTTGAGGCGCTTTCAGTTCAGTAATGGAGGAAGGGGAGCAGATTGGCATGACACTATTTCAAGAGTGAGAATGGGAGTAAAGGAAGTACCAGATTAAGTTGTTCTTAGAAGTTGACTTTCCATGAGGCCTTCAGCTCTGAGAATCCATAAGTTTTCATGGTCCTTCTTGGTGGAGTATCTCCACAGTGACATTGGCCTCATGAGCATATCCTATTTCTACACCTCCAAGTGACAGTAGCCTTTGCTCCACTGTGGCTGGGACATTTTCACTTAGGTCCAAGCATGATTATATATATCACAGTTAAATTTAAGGCCATCTCTCATTTCTATGGATTTTGTTTAGAAAAAGACTTCAGAATGTCCTCAGCTTACCTTATTCAATGGATGTATCATCATAAGTTTTGATTATAGTCCCTGGGCAAATTATCACAGCTGTCTCTCTGCTCTGAGAGTCAGGACAAGGTGGAAGAGTCTGGGCTTTCTTGGCAGGAATGAGAATGGGAGATCATATTTGGTAATACAGGCTACAGTCACTGAGACAGTTTGCTGAGAGAGGCAGACTGAGAAAGGGACCAAACGGGGATATGGCAAAACTGAGCAGACTGGTTGATCAGGGTTCGAAAAGAGCTGCAAGGAGGCACACAGGGTGAACAGGTGTGAGACTACTGACATCACGGCTTTTGGCAGTCAATTGTAAACTTTCTGCCAGATGTTTAGGAAACCTATACACCCAGTGATGGTGGGTGTGTAGGATTAGAATTTGAACTGGGTACAACATCTGACTGGTGGCTCATTTGGTAAAGAATCTGCCTGCAATGTAGGAGACCTGGGTTTGATCCCTGGGTCAGGAAGATACCTTGGAGAAGGAAATGGCTACCCACTCCAGTATTCATGCCTGGAAAATCCCATGGACAGAGGAGCCTGGCGGGCTATAGTCCATGGGGTTGCAAGTGTTGGACATGATTTAGTGACTAAACTACCACCACCACAACATCTGAACTTCTAACTTTTTTTTTTTTTTTTGCAGAAACCCACAACTGAAGATCTAGTTCAGTTATCAGGCAACAGCAAAGATGCTTCCATGACATCTTACTTTCTGACACTTGAGGACATTGAGGAGTTTCTTCAGGAGGTCAATGAGACATATAAAACAAGAAGCCCAGCTGCACCAGAGTCAGAGGTCTGTGTACCTCTGACTGCCCATGATGAGGTCAGCCAAAAGGAGTCCCTGCAGAAGCAGGTGATGAATCTTTTGAGGCCCATGATGATAATTTATGCATGTTCTGTCATCCTTAGGACAGTTTTTGTCCATGTTAAAGCCTTACTTTGCCCCTTGGAAACCTAAAGTGACTTTCTTTTTTACTCCAAGGTGACCTCCTTTGATGAGAGAAACCCTCCCATTCTCATCCCTGCCAAGAAAGCCCAGACTCTTCCACCTTGTCGTGACTCTCAGTTGATGGATGTCACTGACACTCCAAAGACATTCATCACTGATTGTCAAGCAACAGCCGTTAATGCAAACAAGTTGACAATCCCCAGTGAGGGTAGCCAGATGAAGATGCTCAATGATGACCAGATGACCTTCAGTGGGGTCCAAACTACCTATACGGGTCAGATGAAGAAACTCAATGATGAAAACACTCCCCACCGAGTCTATATGACGCCACTTTCCTCAGCATCATTGCTATATGCTAGAATTCTGTATGTTGCCAGTTCTCATTTGACCCAAGGACAACCTGCAGAAATGCAGAAGTGGAATCCCAAGATTCAGAGGTGTCCATTGCAGAAGAGGCCTGACATTTTGAGGCCCTACATCTGCACCTATAACTGTGGGAAAGCGTATGCCAAATCTTCCCATCTGCGAATCCACGAGCGTGTGCACACAGGTGAGTAAAGACTGCAGGATGGGGGTGTCAGGAAAATAACTAAAGGCCTCTGCCTTTACAAAACATTGGGATCATTTGAGATCATTGCCATGTCCCTCTAAGTCTGGGACCCAGAAGACTCTAGAAAAGGTTGGCTGATCTGAAAAGTTATAAAAAGCAGTCCCTAGAAGAGACTCTAGTTCTGCTCCAGAGGAAACCTGACTGCAGCGTTTTGTGGTGTTGACTGCCTGGGATGATGGAAGAAGTGGAGGGCTTTGTTTGACCTCTTAGGATGGTCCTAACCCTACCTCTTCTAGGACCGTCTCTTTATGGACTCCCATAGTCCCAATAGATAACCCCACTCAACCTTCTCTACCCACCACTACCTTCCTGCTTTCCCTCCTACTTTTTCTTTTCCTCTTCCTCCTTCAGCCCTCTTGCCTATCCTGCCCTCCTCTTCCTTTCCTGTACACACCTTCCAGTCCTGTCTTCTGTCTCTCTCTGTCCCACTCCAACATGCCCAACAATTTTCTTCTCCATTCTTTTCCAACTTCCCTGTCTCATGTTACCTTGAATCATGACAAGTCTCCCTTTCTTTCTTGCTTCCAGGAGAGAAGCCGTATAAATGTAATGTGAATGGATGCACATGGGCATTCTCCCGTTCATCTGAGCTCAACAGACACAAGAAAAGGCACACCAGGGAGCGGCCATACCTGTGTACTATATGCGACAAAGACTTTGCCAGATCTGATCACTTAAAGCAGCATCGGAGAGGCCACAGATGAATTTCTCCCACAATGACAAACCCAGCACCCTTTGAGGAAATGACTTAAACTGAAAAAGTCTCCCTGCTAAGACTTTGCTTGGCACCTAGCACTGTGCCAGCACATGCTTAATATTAGTTGTAAATTTTAAGGTTTTCATTAATTTTCATATAAATGTAATGTATAAAGAAATGTATAAAGAATATGTGTATGCATTTCAGTAGAATCAGAAGCACTCTGCATTTACTTTTCTATGCATAGTGAATGTTTTCATCACTGTTTTATGAATCCTTGTAGAAATCCTTTATTTCTTTATTCCTTGTAGAAATCCTTTATTCCTTTAATAGAAATCCTTTATTTCTATTTGTACATGTAAAGATGTAGATGTAGATGATGTTTTATGTAGATGATTGTAATGCATGCATAGTTCAAATGTGTTAAGAAATTAGCATTTCAGTGGGAGGTGGGAGAGAGGTTCATATGTACACCTATGGCTAATGTATGGCAGATGTATGGCAATGTATGGCAGATATCAAACCAATATTGTAAAGCAGTCATCCTTCAATTAAAAAGAAAGGAAAAAAGAAGAAAGAATGTAGCATTTCATATTTGAGCACTTCATTTATTTCTTTGGAGGTCCATTTCTACAGAGTTAAGAGGAAGGGGACGCTTGGTTACTTCCAGTGTCAAGCGGTCTCATTAAATGAAACTCATTTGGATGAACTTCATTAAAGAGTTAAACCTCCTATCTCAGCTGTTTTCCTCTAAGGCAAAGTGTCTCTTTCCCCTTCTGCTCTCTCAGGACACAGTAGATGGTGGCGGTGGAGGGGGAGGAGTGGTCAAGTGTTGGCAGCCAGGGGAAAGATGTTCCCTTTCCATGGGGCCTCAGGCTTCTGCTGACATGTCTGCAGCTGCAGTGACCTAGGGTCTGTTTCCTGGGCATGGCTGAACACCTGCTCCTGAGATTAGCCATCTTCATCTGTGTTTAGGTCCTTCTCCCAGCTCTTGCAGGCCTTGTCCTCTTAGGTCTGACTTGGACCCTCATCCAAGTGCCAACTTGAATAGTATTCCTTTGAAAAAGTATCTGGGTAAGTCCTCCATTTGTTTCCAAGTTTGGGGGCCACTCAGAAAGGCACTTTCTACTGTAAGACTTCAAAAAGAAACAGACTGCAAATCCCAGGGCTTCAGTTTGCCCTGCAGCATTTGAAGTTCTACTTGACCCACCCACTCTCACTCCAGAGGCCCCAGGAGCTAGATTCCTGGGTCTTTGAGGGTCTCACAATAATAATCTCTTAATGTGGTATTAAGTATGATATGAATTAATATAAGTACAAAAATAAACATCTGTGAGAGCCCATCACCCAGTGGCCTGCACTCAGGTATTGAGATGATCAATCAGGACAATGAGCCAAACTGAAAATAGAGATCAAGCCTTTATTCACTTACCACTGGAGAGTGAGCAGGGAACCAAAAGAAGATGTGGCAGCTCTCCAACGTTCCTTCTTTCCTTGTGAAACACCAAGCAAGGGTTACGTTACATACAGTTATGGGGGGAGTATTCTCATTGCCTCCAACAAAAGACCCCTACCGTTTTGTAGAAGGGAGAGAGAGGTGGGAAAGGGGAATTCTAGGCATGGAAACATATTGAGTCAGATGGGAGATAAATGCTTCAGCCAAAACCCCTAGTAAGGGGGTGTGGGTGTCCTTGCAGCCACTTGCTTCAGAGATTTGCACTTCAGGGATCTGCCCCAGGTCTGGTGTACGGAGGGGAGCTTCCAGCATGAGGCCATCCACAGTCTTGTAAGGGCCAGCCCAAAAGATCACAAATAGGTATTGACCTCCTGGAACTGGACTCTTTAATTCAACCCCTGGGTCCTTTAGGATCTGAATGAGAAGCAGAGGTTACACCATCAGGTCCTCTGTGAGCCAGACATTGATGGGGTGTGACCATGCTGATTGGTCAGTATGAGGGCCATGATCTAAACCACTCCAAGTCGAATGATTAGGCCTGCCTGGAGGAGTGAGTGTAGCCGTGAGCCCCTGTGTTTTTTAAGCAAGATAAAGATGGCCTATAACCCATTAGGGTCTATTCTAAAAGGCCAGAAGGCCTTCTGTCTCAGCTTCCTAATGGACTGCTCTAATTTGTCAGTTTTCTTTCTGATCCAAGTGTTAGCAGTGGCACAGATCCCCTAGACTGGGGAGCTGGAAGCCAAGGACTAAGCAGTTAGCCAACACTACTAAGGCCAAGGAGTGGGGGCTGTTCTGTTGTGCCTCCAATGCTCAGAGAGTATCATTAATAACTTCAACAAGGGCCAAGGGCAGGTTGCATAGAACTTTTTAATAATTGGAGGCTTCCAGCAGTGAGAGAAATTACCCAGTCTGTGCAGAGTAGGAGTGAGTGTAGGAAGAAGGCCACCACTAGTGTGGCCAAAATTCTCTGATGGTGGATCTCCCACTGCTCTTCCAGATGTTCCAGTGGCCTCCTTCTCTGACAGGAGTGAACTGACTTTAGGGAGGTGTTTTGCTCTGCAGAATCCAGTTACATCAACAAAGGATGTCACACTGATGATGCTGGTGCACTTGAGGTACTAGAAAGGCCCTAACTGCCTGTCAAAGGAGATGCACTTTTCAAGCAAATCAGAGTTGATGAATCCAAAGTCAACTAACACAACTGGCCTATGACACTGTTCTCCTGCTCTAGATTCCAACTAGTGATCTGAGAGATTGTGGAGACATGTAAGACAAGAGTAAATGTAGATAAATGGGGCCCAGGAAAAGGGTGACTGGGTGGGCCATTGGATGGCCTCCTGGCATTTCACTGGTAGAGTTCCCCACTCTAAGGAAGCAGCCTTTCTGGTAACCCAGTAGACAAATACCATCAAGATCCCCAAATGGGTCAGTGGGAGGGCACCAGTTCCAAAGCCTTCCACCAAAACCTGAGCCCTCTCCTCCCCATTTTTCTCTTCCTTCCCAACCAAAGTGTACTGTGTCGGGGCACTTTGAAAGAGGGGGTCTGTGGCAATGCACCCCATCAACAGATGCTCCTTCACAAAGTGTAAGAAAATCTTTGTCATGGTAAGAAGATCTTTGTCATGGTAAAAGCAAACTAACCAAGTCTCTATCTAGGTCTCTTTGAATTACTATAGAAAGTGACCCCGAAGCACTTCACCTTCTTTTCTGGAAAGCATGAGCCTCAATAACACAGTGAGTCGCAGAAAGTCTCCTGACACCAGGGACCTGCTCACAGTCAACAACAGTCACTGCCTGCAACTAGAACAGCTTGGCTTTTGGCTTGTCCAACATCCACTGTACACCTGCTTTAACCACAGATGAAAAGAATGCATTGTCCTGAAGTAAAAAGACCTGGGAGACCTGGAGAGGAAGAGGAAGAAGGGCTAGGAATGGAGAGATAGGAGTCATAGTGAAGAAATGTGCCTCACCAATGCCTCCAGTAAAGAGGCTTATGGATGGAAGTGAGCAGGCAAAAAACAAATCTTTTCTCAGCCTGTTTGATCTAAGGGGCCATGGGTCACCTTCAGAAAGTGCAATGCCCTGCTATGCACCACATCCCATGTGGGGAGGGTAGCTTCCCCCAGGAAACCAGCCAGGGACAGCCTTAGGGTCAGCCCTGAAAAAAAAATCACATATAGGGCTTGGACTTGAGACAGAATCCTCACCCAATTTAAGAATTGGAATATTATTGACACTTATCTACTCACGTGCTTCTCTCATCTAACCCTGTCTATCCTCTAGGAATAACTACTACTCTGAATTTTGCATATATATATGTATACATATATATATATCCCCTTGATTTACCTTCTATGCATTTATTATAAATCTATGTATTTAAAAAATGTATAGCTTTGGGAACTGGCTATCCAGTGGTTAAGACTCCAGGCAGCACAGATTTGATCCCTGGTCAGGGAACTAATGAAGAAGGATATGGCAACCCACTCCAGTATTCTTGCCTAGAGAATCCCGTGGACAGAGGAGCCTGGTGGGCTGCTGTCCACAGGGCTGCACGGAGTCAGACACAACTGAAGAGGCTTAGCAAGCATGCATGCATTGGAGAAGGAAATGGCAACCCACTCCAGCGTTCTTGCCTGGAGAATCCCAGGGATAGAGGAGCCTGGTGGGCTGCCATCTATGGGGTCACAGAGAGTCAGACACAACTGAAGGGACTTAGCAGCAGCAGCAGCAGCAGCAGGGAACTAAGATTCTGAGTGTGTGAGCTGTGGCCAAACAAACAAATAA